TGTTGATAAACCAGCAGTAATATAATGACCTTTCTTTTCTTTTATTCCCCCTTCCTTTCTTTTTGCACTAGGGATATAAGGTTTCTTTAAGTGCAGGTTCACCACTGTCTCTGCTGCCACATTCTTTTGTGCTTCCTGATCTTCAGATCCCTCTTCCTAAATTATGAAAAATTTAAGGGACATCATTTGTATAAAGACACACAGTTTTCATAAATGTTTCCTATCTTTATGGATCTAGATTTTTCTGGGAAGATTCTGAAGTCTGATTAAGTCCCTTTGTTCACAGCCATGGCTATAGCAGATCATAAGAGGTTTTTAAACCACAAATTCCACATTGGGAATATCTATTTGCAATGAAAATATTGACAGATTGAAATAATACTAACATCTGTTCACATTTTAGAAGTCTGTTGAATTCACTGGGTTTAATTACGCCTCTTGTATTCAATTGATGTTGTCAGGTGGCACGTATTGTTTAGTCAAGTACATGCTTAATTCTCTCCCACTGACTCAGTGACACTTCAGTTGCTAATTTTTGTTTGGACCAAAGCTCATGTGCAATCGTGAATGTTAGCAATATTTGGTATTTAAGGCTCAGCCTCACTAATTGGTTGAACCTGTTCTTTGATTGTTATAGATTTACAGACACTGATACATTTACCATTGTCCATATGCGCACCTACGCCTCTGCTCAAGGCAGGAGACAGATCTCTGAATTGCTCCAGTTAAACTAACTGGAACTGAAAGCTTGGTGGTGGTGCAGAGAGGTCACTGTAGCAGCCTCTTCTTGAGAAATCAGACTTGAAAGGAATCCCATTCTTAAGTCATAAAGCCCTGACCAAAAAGAAAGCAATTTGCATATTCCTGGAGGTGAGAGAAACTCCTGCTGTGACACTCAGGTGTTGCAGTAGTTAAGTGAGCTATCTGTAATGTCTGTTTCTCGCCTTAGACCCAAGTACAGTAGGCTAACTGAATAAAGTCATTATTTGTGTAAGCCCCAACAACAACAACCCTGACCAAAACCAAAAGTATTGTGGCACCTTTGAGTGTTTGGTTCTTCAGCTTGACAGGGTACGGACCAGAGATGGGCACGAATGAGCAAAATGGTAGTTCATGTTGGTTCATGGTTTATCAAAGATCATGAATTTCCAGCTTTACTGATGGACCATGAATCAGTTCATCGGTACTTTTTAAAGACAGCCCATGGCTGACAAAAAACAATCCTGAGAGCCCTGCCCCCTTCCCACTGCTCCCATCGCCTCCCTACCTCCTCATCTGCGTCCAAAGCCTCCACCACCTGTGCCACTACCTGTCCTGCACCACCTTTGCAAGTAGCGGGCGGCTTTCCTTCCAGAAACCTAGCCTGCCCTGTCTGCCTATGGCCCACCAATCAACTGATTGTTGATTTGCAAAGACAGAGGCAGCAGTGGCAGTGATGGCAGTGGAAGAGGACAATATAGGGTGGCAAGGGGGTAGCAAGGGGCAGGGGAGCAGGAAGAGTGGGAGGCTGGGTGGGCAATGAACCATGAGGTTTGTAAATGGTTACAAATCAGTCTTCATGTTAGACTGATATGGGAACTCCTTTGTGACACTGAAGGAGTGTTGCAGTCTTAATCAATCTGCCTCTTAAGAAGGTTGAATTTAAATCATAATTTAAATTTAAAAAAATCGATTTTTATAATTAAATTTTTAAAAAATGATTTTAAAATTTTGAAGCGATTTAAATCACTTTGATTTTTATCCACCCTAGAGCTGTTAAGCTGATTCATATGCCATGTTTTCTCAAAGAAGTAAATCACACAGTAGCATCCACATTATTCTCCTAGTGAATCCAAAGTTACTTAAAAACTAGTATCTCTAAATTACCATTCCAGTTAAATCCATGTCCATTACAGCTTCTGAGACAGAAAGAAATGTGCTGAGACAAATATGGCTGCATAATAAGTCTGTGGCATGACCTGATATTAGATGGATAAATACTTTCCAAATTATAACTGCAGGTACATGGGTTTACTTACATTCTTTCTTCATACTTGTGTGCTTATTGTTATTTCTGAAGATTTTATAACTGTTAGAATGAATCATTTTAATGAATGTTACATTTCATAAGTTTGTAAATTCTGAGTGACAATGAATGCAACAAAGTACCAAAACTGCAGACCACGAACAGTCAAAGCAGGAAGCCAGAAACACAAATGCATTTTACTGAACTGAGTTAAATATGTTTCTAAGTAGACATGCTAAGCACTGCATTATTAGACTTTTACAACTATCACACCAAGCTTACAGTCCTATGATATGTTATATTGAGGCTTGGAATAAGCCTCAATATAACAATGGAACTTACTTCTGAGAAAAGCATTTGCACTCTGATTTTATCACCTCTTTACAAAAAAGAATGAACTTTTTATGATGCTGATGCCACTGGGATCTGAATGAGGGCTATATTCAATTAAAACCGGGACAATTTGAACAGTTTTTATCCTAGAGCTTTAATTGCACTAAATAAGGAACTTAAGAATTACCAGCAGTAAGTTGTTGGACTGCATTACTATTACTTGGTCTGTTGTGTTGTATGTTGTGTGGATACTATGAGTTTTCGGTGGAGTTCTGGGGTTTCGGGATTGTTATGGGTGTGTGTGTGTGTTTGGTCTGGTCTCTGAGTGTTTCTTGTGAATTTCGTTGTATGTGTATATGGTTCAATGACAATAAATTAAACTTTGATTCAAAATTACATCTCTCCTCCACCCCAGTTTAGGAACATAAGTATATAATGTTGCTATTACCACAGTGTGCAAAAGTAGCCACTTCATTTGCTGCAGGGACCGTGCTTTCAGGAAAGATAGGAAGTTACTATTGTTTAAATTTTATGTTACATATTAGAACCTGTTCTGGCAGGGTTTTTGTTAAAGGTGGTCAATAAACAAGAACAGAAATAAGTGGTGTATAAAAGGACCACTAAGTTACAGAGCTCAACTTTATATTATGAACAATATCATGCTGTACTACCGTTTAGAGATAAGTTGGTGTTTAAAAACATGGATTTAACTTTAGGAATTGTAAAGGAGCATATCCGTTTATATTAAAAAGGAGAATTAAATTGAAATAAGTGAGCCCTAACCAGGGGAAAGATGTAATATGGTGGGTTTTCATTTTAGGTAAATTAAACTAGATATAAAGTTGGGGCATGGATCTGGAACCATTTTTATTAAGAATGTTATTAGAAAATCGTCAGAATATTGTATACTATGAAAGTAATATGATAGTAGTCATATTATATACTAAAATAGGTACATGAATGGTTTGAATGTTTGAAAGATGTCTGGAATTTGGGGGGACAATTGGGAAGACATTGAGATGTAAAAAACAAACAATTGTAAAAAACAAATAAGTGTAAGCAAACCATGTAACACGATGTTTGACAAGTACAAACCAATGTAGATAGAGTGAAAAACTAATAAAATGTTTAAGAAAAGAGATAAGTTGGTGTTTCATTTTGTGTGAGAAAGGAGACTAGTCACAAGAATCTCCAAAGATGCTTTCTTTTTTTCAAGTAAATCCACTGATTACTAGATTACCCTAGATTGCCCTGTGCATAATATCTACTGGACTTTCATGAGTTCGAAAGAGCTTCTTCTGCCTTCCTGCTTCACTATCAAAAATGTGAAGAAAATTCGCAAGGGGTGCATAAGATGAAATCAACTACTTTGGAGTTTCAGTCGCATCACAGTATTGTTGAGCATCACAGTATTGTTGAGGGCACCTTGACCCCTTTATACCCTGTGCTTATATAAACAGAAAGAACAAAGGCCTTACAGTCCCCAAGATTACAGGCATGTAAAAGTGGGTGGTAGCTTTTACTGAGCCACTAAATTTTTTCTTTAAAAAAAAAAATCAAACAAATGGTAAGGTTTTGTGGAAGAATCCCACTTCTTCAGGTTCGGTGTGACTGCTTCAGAAAAAGTTTAGAAAGGAGTCCAAAAAGTGATGGTCGATGTCTGAGAGGTGATCTCAGTCTCCAGTTTCAATCAATTAATGCCTCATGCAAAGCTCTCCCTTCACGACTGCTTTTTAATGCTGAACAAAACCTCACTTCTTGAATGTCTACTTTCACAAGTGCCAAAGAAAAACGACCAATCGGGCCTGAGGAAGAGAATAAAGCTGCCCATCCAAGATGTTGGTACAGTATAACAGCCGTGCCGCTGCTTTTGCTCACCAAGCGCCACACTGGCCGCATTTTTTATTTTATTTTATTTTTGGAGAAAGCACCGTTTATTTCATGGGGCTGTGCTTTTCAAATCGACCGTCCTTCTGGCGCTGGGAAGATTCCCACCCACGCGAGGCTACTGGATCGCCGCCGTCTGTGGCTCGTGGCGGGAAACTCAAGAACAGAAAAAGTTTTTCGGACAGCTCGCCGCGCCGCGTAGACGACGACGGCCCACTCCCCCCC